GATCCAGTCAGTGACGGAGTTGAACTGAATTCTGGAGAACTGTCGCAGCACTGACCAACACCAGAAGCTATGGTAAAGAAGTCCTTCACTTGGCTGTAAGCGCGGATTCTGGCTCTATCGTGCGGCAACATGCTTGAATTTTGTTCTAAGGCTTCTTGAAAGCGCTCTCTGTTTCCACCATGCGCCAGAAGGAGTGTCGATGAACCGAATCGAAAAGGAGAATTACGCGAACTGGAGAGTGCACAATGCCGGCTTCTTCGGCAGTGCTTCGAACCAGTTCAATAAAATATATTGAATATCATACCAGACAGAACAAGATTGATGACTTCTGAAACTCATGTCACTTCTGTTTCTTCCTCTTCAATAAACTGGAATTTTAATACTCATAGATATTGCCGTTGACAAGCTTTTGGGGCTTATTCGCTCTGAGGGTGGCCAATATAATTTGGCTGAAACGTCGACAGTTCTAATAAAAACTCTCATTCATCTGTAAAAATTGTGTCTAAAACCATTAAAGTGTCAATTTATTATAAAATTGGACGAAACTTGAACAATATATCAAAAATGGATAGAGCCATAAACTATTATAAATCTTACACACCTCGGTAGCAAGTCAGCAATCCGTCAGAAACTACAAACTACTTAGCTCTAGTCATGTTTTTGATGGTGTATGTGCTATTTCCGTCATGTGTAATTGTAAAAATTATGTTGATCAGTCAAATGGTTTGCTTTACAGTCACTTATGGAAACGAAGTTTCCTGTTGAAGATCTGTCATGAATAGTCATGACTTAATTATGGGTAAATGCACTCGAACATTTCAGTGCGATATTGTTTTCAAGCGGCGTTTGCTTTGCACGTTTTGTGCGCGTTATTCGTATAATCGTGTGTTTTAGCAAGACTGTCCCAAAGGTCACTTAACCAAAGACCAGTTTATTAAAGTCTATAAAGACTTTTTCCCATCCGGTTCCGCGGAAGCATTCTGTGAACACGTGTTCCGAACGTTCGACACCGACAATTCAGGTTTCATCGATTTCAAAGAGTTTCTCTTGGCCATCAACGTGACGTCCAGCGGAACGCCGGAGAAGAAGCTTGAATGGGCCTTTCGCATGTACGACATTGACGGAAACGGTAGCATTGATGAGAAGGAGATGGTCAAGATCATCGAGGTGGTTTTACGCACTTTTCCTTCTGTTCTCTGATTTCTCCAACCGTCTTTGTCCGCTTTGTATTTAGGCGATCTACGAAATGCTGGGACCGGAAATCGCGCGCTCCACCGACGATTCGCCGAGACGCAGGGCAAAGAAGATCTTCGAGAAGATGGACGTGAATTCGGACAAACAGTTGACCATACAGGAATTCGTGAACGGCTGTCTGGCAGACAAGGAGCTTTTCCAAATACTTACAAACGAACCTACGAAGTGACGTAGTGACGTTTCGTTCGCATGGTCGACTGCCCGAACGGCATCGTCAAACAAGGCGTTTCAAACTACAGTACAGTACAACCGTATGCCGTCAGTTGCCGTGGTGGTCTGCGTTGAAAGCTCGGCATCATCATGTTACTCAGTTCATTCTTCGATATTTTGGTTCACTATTTTATCGTCGTGCTTGACTGTTATCATAACCATGGTGTGTAAGAAAGGTGTTGCAACGACACTTGTATACAGTATGCGTCGTCGTGCGTACTTCATTTTCCGACGTGCTTGTTACATATATTCGAATTAGAGTCGACGTTTTTCTGACCACTGTGCTTCTGAAAGCAGTGTATCGATTAACGGTCACCAACACGCCATCGGCTACTGGCCAATTCTGTCAACCTCCTAGTCCTTAGTGACTTATCACCATTCTTCTTTGTTAGTACGGCTTTGGCGAACGACTAGAGTCTGTGTCAGCCATTAGGCAGGGCAGTGTGCGAAAGGTGGGGGTGATTTACGACGGCCAAACAAACGGCGTCCATCGGTCAAGATGAATGTCAGCTCTTCTGTCTCTTGATTGAGCGCAAGCACACAGATCAGAGGTTTTCTGGAGATGCCCACGCGCTTGGCATAACGATTGTCGTGTCACAGCGAACACGTCAGACGACGGAATTGTTTTACAACTAGGCAACATGGCCGCGCTGCCGACTCAGCCGAAGCAGAGTTGGAGGAGGTTGAGGAAATTGAGGCACGGACGATCCACTGCAGACTCGATTCATGAAACTGCCACCTTTCGACCATGTGAAATTAGCGCACAGATCACGGAAACGCCATACTCATGCCATACAACAGTCGAAAACAGTGGAATTACACATCAGTCGTCCTGATCCGAACAGCTCAAATGACTTCACATCGTCGGACAGAGGTTTGTAGGTGCTGTGCTCTAAC